TTGAGCAAAGAAACTATAAAAATTTGAATAGTAATGCAAAATGGAATACAATTAGATGCTGTCAGAATCATATGCTCATTTTTTTTGGTATAGTGATACATTTTTAAAAATAATTTTTAGGAACCATATTTAATTTGAACTTCTACTTGGGTCTTGATTCTTTTAGAAATAAGAGAAGAAGAATTTTAAAACACAGGATGTCAAAGTTGCCACCTCAAATTTTATAAAGAAGAAAAGCTTGTCTTTGATCTGGGCAGGATAGAGATGTAAAGACAATGAATAAGAAGAGAAATTATCAGGGAAAAGGTAGCTTATCTTATACATAACATCTTGCCAGTCAAACCTTAAAAAGAGAGATTTGCCCAAAAAAATGTCTTAAGAAGATTATTCTTTATAAATGATTTTTTTCAGAGGCTGGAACTATAAATGAAAGATGGCTGTGTTGATTGCTCTAGACTGCCAGTCAATTTTCTTAACAGAAGGTGAAGGGCATTTTTCTTTTTAGTTTTTCCAACTGTGTGAGTCTAAAGCCACAGAGGTCTGTATGGAAAGTGTGCTCTGGAAAATACCTGTCCTGAAGTCCATTCTGCTGTGCACGAGCAGAGTAAAAGCCGTTGTGGATGGATCCGTGGAAAGCAACTGTTGATGACTGTGTGATAATGAGTTGTACAGCTAGCTGACCAGTGACACCGAGAAACTGTGCGCCTGCCTTTCCTATGCTCCTGAAGGGGCGGGCAGTAAATTGTGATGTTTTGCTAGCAGTTCTTACTTAGAATTGAATTTTAGAGGCTCTTTGTTTGAGAGCTGTATTTAGCTTTGCTTTTAATTTCCAACCAATTGCGATTATTATCACATGTCCATTTAGTATTCATCACAAGTGTGGGTTACAGCTCCTCTACCAAAGAAGGTCCCTTCCTGTCTAGAGGTCTGATTGACATGTCTTTCTTTCTTTGTTTCTTTTTTCTTTCCTTTCTTTCTTCTTTCCTTCCTCCCTTGCTTCTCTCTTTCTTTCTATCATTCTTTCCTTTTTAAAGTTTCTATTTTTAATTTTTCCATACAGTGTATTTTGATCCTTCCCCAACTACTCCCAGATCCTCTCCACCTCCTTATCCATCCAACTTCATGTATTTTCTTTTTTCTCTCTCTCTCCCCCCAAACCCACAAGAAACAAAACAACAAACAAACAAAAACCCACAAATAGAAACAAAAATGAAACAAACAGGCAAAAGACCAGTAAGATAGAAAACAAAATGGCAAACGAAACAAAAAGTCCACAAAAGTACCATTGAGTTTGTTTTGTGTTGGCCCAACTCTTTCTGGGCATGGGGCCTGCCCTGGAGGGTGGTTCATAGCCCCCGTGGGACCTCTGCTGGCATGGGCCTGTGCAGGTTCTGTGCCTGCAGCTACAACCTTTTCGAGTTCCAAAGCACATCAGTCTTGTTGTGTCTGGAAGACACTGTTTCCTTGGCATTCTCTGTCATCTCTGGCTTTTACAAACTTTTTCGTGCCTCCCCTCCTCCATAGTTCCCTGAACGAGGGGAGAGGTTTGATGTAGATACCTCATTTAGGACCAAGTGCTCCAAAATCTCTCACTCTCCGCACGCTGTCCAGTTGTGGGTCTCTCTGTTACTTTCCATCTACCCCAAAATCTTCTCCAAAGTGAGTTGAGGGAGGCACTGATGGATGGATATGGCAGTATGTCATCAGGCTGACTGACATTTCTTAAAACTTAGAAATAAGTGAAGGGTTTCCCACACACTCAAGCAAGGGCGGCTTGGTCCAGCACCATCCCTTGCTTTTTTAAGCCATTTCTCACGAGTAGCTTTCTTCTTCTTCTTCTTCTTCTTCTTCTTCTTCTTCTTCTTCTTCTTCTTCTTCTTCTTCTTCTTCTTCTTCTTCTTCTTCTTCTTCGTTTTCTACAGAGCTACTGGTAATGTTCGCTGCTTTGCTCGACCCAGAGTACTACCCCTTAATCTGAGGGGTATGAAAGAGCCTTTATAGGTTTCCTTTTTTTTAAAATTTTATTTTTTATTTTATTTTACAATACTATTCAGTTCTACATAACAGCCACAGATTCCCTTGTTCTCTCCCTTCCTGTCCCCCTCTCATTCCCCCCAGCCCACCCCCCATTCCCACCTCCTCCAGATCAAGGTCTCCCCTGAGGACTGAGATCGACCTGATAGACTCAACCCAGGCAGGTCCAGTCCCCTCCTCCCAGATTGAGCCAAGAGTCCCTGCATAAGTCCCAGGTTTCAAACAGCTAACTCATGCAACGAGCCCAGGACCTGGTACCACTGCCTAGATACCTCCCAAACAGATCAAGCCAATCAACTGTCTCACCTATTCAGAGGGCCTGATCCAGTTGGGGGCCCCTCAGTCTTTGG